GCTAGTTTTGGTTAATGACTCCATGTAACTCTTTTACGTTTACTAAAGTAAATCACTCTAAAATATTATGATAAATTGGTTGCATTTTTAAACATATTTTCTGTTATAAACTTAGTCAACACCATCAACCCACGATGCGTGGCTAAAAGTACATGCAAATCTGTGAGAGAATAGATGTAGAATAAATACTAATATTGGTAATTATATTAATACGATTGAATAAATAAGCAATGAAAAGCAGTACACCATGATTTTGCTGTAGGAACTCAACGTGGATAGTTCAATATGGTCAAATGTGCTATAAGATCCCACAGTGTAGTGCATTGACGTGTGTTTCAAGTGCAAATCACAACAATACATACTTAAAGACAAATTATACATACAATGTGCAGTATAGTAAAATAAGACAAGATATCGCAAGTTTGTAGTTTGTATCACTCTTCAATACATGGAGCAATTTTGTTGTTTGGCCGGACAAGAAATGATTTTTCTGTAGAAACAATGCTCCCAAAACACGATCGGCGTCGTTCAAAAACCGTACAGTCTTAAAAAAGGCGATATTCAATTATTGTTCTAATAACGTAAGTTATAAAATAATCTGAGAGAGTTTAGTTGCATAAACTTTATGCCCTAAAGTATTTTAATTCCGCCTCAATAGAGAAGATTGAAAGCGTTTTATGCAATATATCTTACCACCACCGGCGGCAAGGACGCACGACTTTCGGGTCAAATTGAATTTTTAAAAAAATTGTCCAAATCTTACTCACCTTGATCTACCAAGGGTTCTCTTGGCACCAATTTTATTGGGATGATAGGTAGTGGTGTCACGTGATAGGGTGAAGGTTCTTGTGTTTCTTTGCTAAAATATAAATTATAACATTGCTGTTTGAAATTTATTGACTCTAATGTATTTTTTCCTAAGTACATAAACAAAAGAATTAATGAATTATTCAAAATGCACAATCTCTGAATTGAGCAGTAGTACATATATATATTAATTTCCAAGAAAATTCCAGTTATAATAAAATTGTATAAAAAAGTTCATATATTTATAGCGTATTAATTATTTTTTATACCTGACTCGTCGATGTACAATGTTTCGAAATTTTATGACAGGCATTGCTGCTTGTTTCAGGTCTTTTCTCCATTTGTTGCTCATGCAATAAATTGTCATCGGGCGCAGCAAAGTGCATAGGTTGATACTCACAATGACGTTAAAAGGTATATTTACTCCCATGTCGATAACGGAGTGTATATGAACGGGCACCCAGAATATAATCGACAATGCTAAAAATATGAAACGACTTTTAAAATGCAGCGATGAACAGAAGTCCAGACTGCGATACCTAGATTATACTTAAACTTACGATATATATTTTTTAATTGTTGAAAACGATCGAACTAATAATATAATTAGAATTATTTTGGCAATTCAGAAAAGAAATGAATTCAAAGAAGGTAACATATACATCAGGGATGAGATGTTTTGGAAGGTCAGTTTTGGTAGAATATTCTAGATATATCAATGAATCAACGCCATTTGACATATTTAGCCAGCCGTGGGCGGATTATAACTGGAACCTATACCACAGACAAACCATTTGTGGATCTAGATTCGAGTCCAAATAAAGACGCTTTTAGCCGAATTGATGATCTCTCCTGAGATACAAGAAATTAGTAAGATGGGCATTCGATAAAACCTTCAAGTTTTTTTAAATTTCAGCATATTATATCTCGGATCAAAAATGAGGATGAATTTCATGTAAAATAGTATTTTACAACGTTTTCATAAAGTTATTAATGTGAATTTGATATAAAAACAAGAAATAATCATACTCCTCGAATCCATGCAATAAAAGTTAACTGGAAACAGAATGCATCTCCTCGTTAACTGATTTTGTCAATCCATGGAAACATTCAAATTATTGAGCATACAAATGTTAAGAGTTTATTTAATTCACCTGCTATTGTGTAAAGAATTGAAAAGGTATTTTCCGACCAAATAACAGAAGTCTTTCTGTAGAATTTGATTCTGAGTCGCTTTTTCATAGAAAGTGGTACCGGTGAGCTGGATTGACGCATCGAAACACTTCTTTTATTTTTCGTTGTGGTGAGAGTTTTAGGGACAACGGGAGAATGTATCCACCTTAAAAATAAAAAGTTGGATAGGTAAAACCTGTCAATATGTGGAATTTTAGTAATTGTTAACGTGAAATAAAAGCAAGGTAAATTGGTGTCGATTCCACACCCCTCGATTTATAAACCTCTAGATTTTGAAATAGGCATCCGTATAACTATTCCAGGCTGGCAAACAAAATAAGGTGCTTATTTTAGGTGTCAAAAAATTCAAACTCCCGCCAATAATAATGTATTTAATTGCATGTGTAACTTGTTTTGAGCTCAAATTTTTCTTAATTATGCCATTTTGTTACTTTCTCAGATTAGATTAAATTTCCTTTTTCCTATTTGATTTGGATTATGATGCAAATATTACCTCATGCATACAATTCCTATGAGAAACATAGCTGGAAGAAGTGAGAACATGAATCCTAATGAAACACGTAAAGAAAATTGTATCAACCACATCGTATCCAGGGTGATATAATTCGATCGGCTCAAATAAATTGTTGCAACGTATTCAACTGTATTTGCTAAAAGAGGAACCACAAGAAAAAGACTTCGCTTTTGTCCAGCGAAACGACACTTCGAATTGCTTGAAGTCCTCGGTTTTGCTATTAGGTAGATCAATGTCCAAAGTTGACTGGCTCCAATGGATGGCATGATTGTACTCGTGAAGTCATAAACAAATTTTATTATAACTCTCATGCCACAGGCTTGGAAATCATCAATATTTACGGTATCCTCTTGCCATGGCGTGTGATTCGAATTTTTCGTCGCTTGCTTTGGTATTTTCAAGCATGAGCCGGTTTTACGACAAGTCAAAGAATATGCGACGTGAAACAGGCTCACAAATATAACAAAAAAATCGGTGATAATAATGAAGCACATGAACCAATTTGCAAGTTTTTTCAATTTGTGTATCTGAACTTTCAGCGACAAGGCGTTCCACGCTATTGATGGAACAACAATGCTCATCAACAAATACAAATCGTAAGCTGACACTTCCATAGTAGATTCCACCTCGCAAATGCTTCACTGAGCCGTTTCAAAAGATCTTTATTTACCATGCAAAGGTGCAAATTATGCATAATGAGGTACATACCATCTGTTACTCAAAGACGCAGAAACTCAATTCACCGTTCGTTTCTCCTGAACTGTCGAGGCAACAAATATGGGATTGCGTTCATGGGACACGCCATTAGGCCTTACACGAATCCTATTTTCATAAATCCAGCAAATTAACAAATACATACATGCCTAATTAGCAAGACCGGGATAATGATGAATGATGTTCAATTTTTTTCGATCTATTGATTTTTATTACCTAAACAGCGCAAGTGGTATGAATTAAGTGGCAAAACGATTCCAGGCATAAGGGTCTCTATAGTATCCTAGTATCGTCTAAAGCAGTGGTCCCCCAAACTTTTTAGAGTTGGGACTTGGGACCGACTATTTATTACCACAGCTTATGGCAACTTACTTAACTTTAATTTTCTTTTTTGTTATTTTTATGACACAACACAGCAATGGCTAATCATCGCAAAAGGTTTTTTCTAGAAATGAAGACCTGGCCTGAAAATAATATAATATTTTGAATTTTCAAAATGATTTTAATTAAACCCTACCCTTAAAATAAATTTAAAATGTGTGGGAGAGGAGAGGGTTCATTGGCCTGAGGTAAGCTGAAGTTCACACCACTATTCAAGATTGTGTGATATCACAATTATGATATTTGTCACTTGATTTTTGTATATGAAAAAAAATAAAAGCAATGGATGTATGTTTTTATATAATGTTTAGTGATTTTCTACAATGTAATTTTATTTTTGATAAATTGACCAATCATAGTGTTATTCTTCAAAAGAAAATAAATCTAAATCCTGTCTAAATTTCGGGGAAACACGGTAAGAAGTGCTGTACAGTGTACAAAACTGCTATGCGTAAAAAAGCCACATGGCCATTCTTTGTGTAGCAAGTAGCAAATTTTTGTTGCCTTGAGAAGATCGTTAAAAGAAAACTTTCACAGATTAGAATTTGGATTCAATTTAATCTTTTTTTTTTTTTTTGAAGATTTACGTATTCGAGTCGCCACCGATCCTAATAATCAGTATAATTAACCAAAGCCCTCTACATCTTTTCACGACCCACTAAGATTCCTTTTGCGACCCATAGTTTTGAGTGAATGGTAAAGGTTTTCATATTTTGTATATTTGAAAATCTCGTCATTCTCCACGTTGTAATTTTGTTTTTGATAAATTAAAAATATAAGACACCCCCCCCCCCCCCCAAAAAAAAAAAAAAAAAACCTAGTGTTATTTTTAGAGGACAATTGAACTAAGACCCAGTCTTATTTTCGGGGGAACACGGTGAAAATATCTGGTAATTCTAAAAACTAGATAGCGATCGGCGACCGCCGAATTATCGATCTTCTGCATGAGGGATCCCCCAAAACAGAAACTTAGGTCTCGATTTTTTTGCTCTGACTCAATAGCGACACCGCGTGTCTTATCACTAATTAATTATTAAATGATTATACGACATAATTCATCCAAAATCAATAGGCTTCTGGTCCGAGATATGATGGATGCATATGCAAAATTTGGAGCAGATTCAACCTCGTTTTCGTGAGATATCGCGTAACATACGAAAGTGTCTAATTGAAAAACGAGATAGCGATCAGAGACCGCCGACTCATCGATCTTCCGCATCTTCAATTAATTAATAACTCGCTAGTTATACAACATAATTTATCCAAAATCAATAGGCTTCTGGTCCGAGATATGATGAATGCGCATACAAAATTTGGAGCAGATTCTACCTATCAACATACTTACCGATCGAGATCGATAAGTAATTATTCGCTGTATAATTAAGGATTTTGATTAAGTTTAACTATAATTAGTATCTAAATTATAACTTTAATAAAATCCTGTTGTTGAAAGTGTGAAACGATGTCCGAAGATGTCTCTATACTCTGAGAAACTGAAACAGAATCGTAAAAAAGATGAGGAGGAGAGAAACACATTAGACAGAACGAAGTGCATGGCATTGAAATTTAATGATGAAAAAGTAATTCGAAGAGAAGATATATGGGAATTTTTTAGAAAACTGAATATTGTATTCGACACTGTGGACGGATTTGTACTTACGTCCAGGTACACGGTGGACTTAACATTTAAAACAAGAGCAACAGCTATTGATGTGGATAAGAAATTATGGGAGCTTAAAAAAGTAGGTGCAGAAACACTTCCTTTTCATAGACTTTATGTACCGGAAAATGTGGCAGTATTCGTACACAATGTGCCATGCCCAATGGAAAATAAAGAAATTAAAGAACACTTTGAAGAAAATCACGGAACAATAGGAGAAGTACTTATATTGAAAGATAGGTTCAACATGAAAAATGGCATACGAAGATTTTTTATAAAAAAAGACGATTTAATGAAAAAACCAATTCAAAGTTACGTAAAATTAAAAGGACATTCACTTTTTGTCAGATATTGGGGGCAGACCCCAACATGTCGTATTTGTGGCAAAGCTGGCCATATAATGAATAATTGTGAATATTTCATTCCAAAATTAGAAAGATATAAAGACACAGGACAAAGATCACCGAATCCAGAACAGACCAAAGTTGACGAAACTGAAACCAAACAAGTAGAAAAAAACAAAATTGATAATACTGAAAATAACATTAGTAAAAAACAATTGATAAATGATAATCCAACCCAGAGCACTCCCGCGAACGAAATTAGTGAAGATCACAGTGAGAAATCATCCATAAGTCCAACCCTTTTGCCAGAAATGTTTGGAAATATGTCTGACATCAGTGAGGATAATAGTGAGATAATTACATTGAATAAAGAAGAGGAAATGCAATCCAATACAGCAGAAAAAACAATTTTGTATTTGTTAGAACCTCATACACAAAACCAAGGTGAAAATTCACAGTTAACCGTGGACAAGTCTTCTTCTATTGAAAGGTCACCACCAAGAAAAAAGAAAACATCTAGAAAACAAAAGATAATGACTATGAAAGAAGCTAAAGATTATATACACAATATGAGTGAATAAAGTTGTTGTTAAAACGTCAAATCTACTTTTAAAAAAAAAAACAAGAAAAAGAACTCTCACAATGGTAATTTATTTGACGATTCTCACACTTAATGTTAATGGCCTTAGAGACAATCAAAAACGTAGAGATGTATTCTTCGAATTATCAAAAAAAAAGGCAGATATAATTTTTCTCCAAGAGACACACTGCACTACCGATGTTGAACTAACATGGCGTAGAGAATGGAGACATGGCACCAGCATATGGAATAATGGTAATTCAAACTCGAGAGGGGTAGCTATATTACTAAAATCAAAGATGTCAAGTTTTTCGTTTTATAATGTCACATTCGACAACGATGGAAGAGTTCTTACTGCTGAAGTGGATATACATGGTGAAAAAATTCATTTGGTTAATATTTATGCCCCTTGTCGAACTAACATTAGAATACAGGAAAATTTTTACAACGGTATTTACAGATTCCTATATTCTCAACATGCAACAGTTTTTGGTGGTGATATGAACTGTGTTCATGATATAGATAAAGATAGAACAAGTAATAAAAGAGCCAAGAAAGAATATGTGTCTGAAGCATTGAATGACCTTGTAGAAACTTTTAACTTGATCGATTCTGTGGATTTCCTTTCTCATAGTAATACCTTCTATACCTGGAGAAATAACACAATACAAGCCAGATTAGATCGTTTATATTGTTCTCATAGGCTATGTCATATAACCAACATATATTGTTCACCAACATATAACTCGGATCATGACATGTACTCGGTCGATATTCAGATTAATAGTAAATTGGAAGAAAAGGGACACGGATTTTGGAAAAATAATGTTTCAGTCTATAATAACCAAAATTTTATTGAAGACTTCCAGAACAAATGGAATAGTTGGTGCACATTAAAAGTTTTATTTGATACAAAAACTCAATGGTGGCAAGAAATAAAGAAAAAGATTAAAGATTTGGTGATCAAACATTCAATTAAAATAGCAAGGGAAGCAAAAGCTGAATATAATAGAGGGATGAAACAATTGGAAGAATTGAAAGAAAGATTAGATAGAGGAGATAAAGTGTTGACTACATTCAATAAATTAAAAAAAGAATTGATTTCAAAACAAAGACAAAAAAGTGAAAAATTAGAATATTAAACTTAGCACAACATTATGACACACATGAAAATGCAACAAGTATTTTTTCAAAAAGCTGCGAAAAAAGAACAAAGAATGTTATATCACCAATTGAAAAATGAAGAAGGTACCACACAAGAAAAAATATATGAAAAAATGTCCATAGTCAAAAATTTTTATCAAAATTTATACAAAAAACAACAAAACAATATGGAGACCCAAAAGATTTTTATAGAAAATATTCCTGAAACAATAAAATTACAAGAATATGATGCAGAAACTTTAGAGACCCCTATTAATTTGGATGAAGTTTGGATAACTATCAAAGCCCTCAAGGAAGACAAGACTCCAGGACCTGATGGAATAAGTGCTGAATTCTATAAAAAATGCAGGGAAATCATAAAAAAAGAATTCTTTGAAGTACCGGTATTGGAAGAAATATTTGAAAATTGTCAAATAACAAAAGACATGAAATTGGGATATACTACTTTAATTTATAAAAAGGGAGAACCAGACCAAATAGAAAATTACAGACCAATAGCATTATTACCTTTTCCAAGTGCTTCAAAAATTCGGTTTTAAAGATAAATTTATAAAATTAATTCAGACATTATACAAGGAATCGGAAACCAGAGTGATTATGAATGGATACTTAAGCGAAACTATAAAGCTTGATAGAGGAATTCGTCAAGGAGATCCGTTAAGTTTATTTTTATTTATCATAGCAATTGAACCTCTCCTAATTAAAATTAATTCCCATAAAGAAATTATTGGCTTAAAAATACCACACAACAGAGAAATTAAACACATTAGTTATGCAGACGATGTCACATTGACTCTATGTAACAAAAGCTCTGTATATTCTGCAATGGATTTGATGACAAGATTCAAATTAGCAACTGGAATGAAGTTGAACATAGAGAAGACTAAACTTTTAAAATTAGGAATATGGAGCAATCCTAATTTTTTTTCACAAGTACCTGTTGTCTTGACTTTAAACATACTTGGAGTGGTGGTTTCAAATCATGATACAGCGATGAAAACTGGCAATACTGTTTAGATAATGCAAAAACTGTAATAGATGAACTTTCAAATATTCCATTATCATTGGATGGAAAATGTCTGATAATAAAATTGAAAATTCTACCTTTGTTTTTATACTGTGCAAGATTATATCCCATCCCATTAAAAATTGCAAAACAAGTGAATGAAATTGTAGAAAAGTTTATATTTAATGGCAGAAACATATTGAAAATTGAGACACTGTGCAAAAACAAGGCTGTTGGAGGCTATGACATGATAAATATTCCTTTATTTACTATGTGTTTATATGTAATGGCTGCATTCGACTATTATTGTGATAGGATTAGTAACAAAATTGAGTATTGTAGACAATCAGTATTCAATATTATTGAATATAATATTGGACAACAACTTTGTTTATTACTTAATTTACCGATTAATAATAATGTGACACATGCTTTTTTCCTTATAAATATTATGGAGAGTTGCTTAATTTTCTTAGACAATATAACATAACCGGGGATGATTTAAAACAAGGAAAACATAGGGTACTATATAATAAAATTGTGAATAAATTGAAGGGCGGAAACAGAATTGTATTTCTTCGTAATGGTACAATTGAAGGAGCCTGCTCTGAAATACATTGTAAGATATTGTCCAATAACATAAAAACTTTCAATTTTAAATTAATGTGGGATATTCTTTCTGTTAAAGTAAAGCCCAGAATTAAACATATTTCTGGGAATGATTTATGTGTGTTTTGCACACAAGAACCTGAGTTTGTTTCTCATTTATTTTGGAAATGTCCTTTTACGCAAAATGTTTTTGATTATATTTTTTCTGTTGCATTAAAAATCAATCATTGTGTACTGAATAATAATTACAAGACTTGTATTTTACTAGATTTAACTCACCTATGTTATTCACATTTGTCCAAAATAGAACGGAATGCTATAATATTATTATTTTGCACTGCCAGACACAAAATTTGGCTTGAAAGGAATACAGTAATTTTTCAAAAAGTTAATCCAAATGTTAGCAATGTAATCATGAAAATTAAGAAGTCACTTATAGCAAGAAGAAATATAGAAAAGTTGAGACAATATCCTAATTTTACAAGAGAACTAGATATCATTTATAATAACTTGTGAATTTTTAACGATGTGATATATAGTATCAAAACTAATAGATATTAAAATTTTTTTTTTAATAATTAATACTAAAAAATATAAATAATGATCAAACATTATGGATTATGGAAATTACATGATGGACATATCAATGGCAATGGGATACTATGGACAATACAATCAATGGACTGTAATGAAATGCTTTGTTATTTTTGTATACTTGGTTATTGTTGTTCATTTATTATTTTATGATTTTTATATATTGCATAAACCACATTGTGGAATCATAAAAAAAAAAAAAAAAAAAAAGTAATGAATAAAAAAAACTATCGTATAAAAACTTCAAAATCTAACTGAAATCCACTCTCCACTGAAGCATTTAATCTGTAGGCGATCACTTTCTTAGATTGTCTTTGATTATGGTAAAAAATTGAATATAGCCTGCATATATGCGTGACATTTTTTATTATGGGTATTGAAAACAAAATAGATCGTGAAATTTTTCACTAGAGCGACAGGGCGATTAAATTCATGTTTTATAACCTGCATAGTCTATCTGGCAAACCTGTGTCGAATTAAAAAAATGTCAGCTGATTTTCGTCAGCTCAGCACTGTCAGCAATCAGACGAGTTAGTACTGTACTGTAGTAGACTGTAGTAAGCCACACTAACCTTGCAGTCACCCGGTTAAACACATATAACTGTGTTGTTCAGTGTTCACTGTAACATCTGAACATGGTGATTCCAAATATAGACTAACTGTATTTGCACGGTCTTAGGTCAAAACTGAATACCTGCAGACCTGGATACCGGTACCGTATGGGTTTGACCGTTTGGTCAGTTCATTGTTTGTGGAAATAAATCTCTCTCTCTCAGCTGGTCATGCACTTCCTGGCTGCGGTACCGGTACCATTCGTCTCCATAGCAATATCATTACGGTATTTTTGTATTTTGCAGTTCAGCAGTTATAACCATAATGCTGTAATGAAGACTGGGACTATTCACTGATTAGAATCTCTATCGTTTTTGGATAACTTGAAAAATGGCCGAAGGAGTTGATTCAACGATGCAAGAAGAGGTTGCAGATGATGAGAGAGAGGAAAATGTAAGAAATTTCAATTCTCCATATACAGAAGAAGATTTTAATAATGCGATAGAGTTGAATGACGAATGGCAAGACGATGATTTATTATGTTCAAGTGGCGGAGCTAATATGAAAAATGATGGTCTTAAATTTGGTATTCCCGCTAAACCTGATTCACTACAATTTGGTGATAAATCATTGACGAAAAAGAAAATCAGTGTTCAATTATCTCCTGATCAGGATTTATCTCAGACTTTTGATTCTGAAGAGTTGTCCATCGATGGATTACCAACTCCTGATGAACTTACAACGCCCGATGATATGGAGTCTTCACCCTCTGATTCCCCAAGACGACTTGTTGGAGTTGACTTAGAATGGGATAATGACACACCTATATTTTCAGACAATTCTATTTCTAATAAATTAGCTGTATCAGAACAAATGGGAGCTGTTGATGCTGAAGTATATCGCACTGTGATTATAGGCGACGAAGAATTTAAAATGGATCTTACTGCTATCATTCCTTATAAACAAGTGTTGTCTCACGGAGGGTATTATGGTGAAGGCCTCAATGCTATTGTGGTATTTTCAGCTTGTTATTTACCAGATTGCAATCAAACTGACTATGACTATATCATGGACAATTTATTTTTATATGTAGTGAGTACCCTTGACTTGCTTGTAG